TGTATCACCCAGAACTGAGATCTCCAGCTGTTCATAAGGATCCTTCCCCTGGTGCTGAGATGCAACCACCTCTGGAGTGGGGTAGAGGGGCTGTTTATACAGGGATCCCATGCCTGGGACTGAGATGCAGCTACCTGTGAGGTGAGGCTTGGCAGGAGCGGACGCTGTATCTAGTATAAACAGAGTTTATATCTGGTGCCCCTTTTTCTTACAGCCTCGATTTCTCTCCCTGTCGGTCTCTATCTCTCACCAGCTCTTGCTCGTTTCTTACAAACACCGGGGGCTGATCTCTATATTTAAACTTCCCTTTCGTCTGCCCTCGAGAAAGGCAGATCTGGTGCATGCATGAGGCCATTTCCAAACCTGGATGCTCCACATCTGCAGCATCGCGGTTGTGGTCATGGCACTTCCCTCCCCTTTGTGCTCTCCGACCAAAGCTGTTTGTGGTGATAAAAGAAAACATAAGCAGCTGCTCGTCTCAGACAAAGGGCAGCTGAGCAGGATATGCAAAGAGCTCTGCAAAGTGCAGACGAGCTACAGAAAGGTCAGAGGTTTACGAGAGTGAGTGGAGGCGTACGTTAGCTGAGCTCCAGCGATTGATAACTAGAGCGGAGAGGGGACATAGTTTTGCAAAACTCACGAAAGTTGCATCTGTGGCCCCATGATCATCATGTCTGAGCACCTCACAATGTCTACCGGAGTTACCCTCACACACTCCTGTGGGGGAAGGTAAATATCTCCATTGTACAGATGGAGAAACTGAGGCATGGACAAAGTGACTTGCCTGAGGTCACATAGGAAGTGTTAGCACAGCAGAGAATTGAATTTCTGTCTTCCATGTCCTCAAAATTCAAAGGCACGCTGGATTTAACTCGTGGGTACTGGCAAATTCCCTTAGATGCTGATGCCCAGGAAAAAAATCTGCTTTCATAGTCTGTAGGTGTTTAAGGTGTTGCCTTTTGGATTTAAAGAAGTCTGGCACAACCCTCATGATGCTTATTAACGAGGTGCTGCAGGGTTACAAACATCTGCCAAAACCTATCTAGATGACTTGGCTATTTTCAGTAGCTCCTGGCAAGATCCCTTGTACCATGTGGCATTGTGCTACAAGGCTGAGAGAAGCCAATCTCACTGTCAAGGTCTCCAAATGCAAGATGGGGTCTCCTACCTAGGACACAGGTTGGGCAATGGATTGTTCGCTCTGGTTCATTAAGAGTAGAAACCATTAAAAGCCGCTTTTAAAACAAAGAAGCAACTCCCAGTCCTTTATTGGTCTGGCCAACTATTAACCTCTGTTTGTAAAGGGATTTAGTGATATTGTGGCTCCCATAAGAGATCGTACGAAAAAGGGAAAACTGGACAAGGTAGTCTGGACAGAGGCCTGCGAAAAAAGTTTTCAGAATATAAAAGAGGTTTTATCTGTTTTAGTCCAACAAACCATTCCTGGTGTGCACTGATGCTTCTACTGTTGGATTTGGCGCAGCGCTGATGTAAAATAGAGTGGGGAGGCAAGAGACACCCCATTGCACACTGAAGCAAAAAAATGACACCCACTGACCAGAATTATGCTGTCATTGAAAAAGAGATCTATGCCGTTGTCTGGGGTGTCAAGCAACTTAAACTGTATTTGTGTAACAAAAAAAATTCACTTTATTAAGGGATCATGCTCCTCTGAGATCTCAACACCTGGAAGACCATCTGGCAGATAAAGACTTTGAACTAGGGAGATTGGTCCCAGGCTGGTAGGGAGTTCAGTCTGAGTACTGAGAACTGTGAGTTGCCTGTAACATCCAGTGGGGTGAGACTCTTATTCAAACCTTGCTTAGTCTGTTAAAGGTAGAATTTAGACTGCCAATTTATTTTTATTTCTTAGGTAACCAACTTTGATCGCTATGCCTGCTACTTATAATCATTTAAAATCTATCTTTCTGTGGTTAATAAATCTGTTCTATATTTTATCTAAAACAGTGTGATTTTGGTTGAAGTGCTTGGGGAATCTCAGCTCAGATTACAAAGGCTGGTGCGTGCCCACTCCAAAAAGAGGAGGGAACTAAGTAATGAGCTTATACTGGTCAGGCTTCTGATCAGTGCAAGATGGTACCGTTCTGGGGTGCAGGGCTGAAACTAGGGTGATTTGCTCGGCTTCTCTCTTATGATTCCTGAGCGGCATACAGTGGGGGGAGGGATAGCTGAGTGGTTTGAGCATTGGCCTGCTAAACCCAGGATTGTGAGCTCAATCCTTGAGAGGGCCACTTAGGGCTCTGGGGCAAAATCAGCACGTGGTCCTGCTAGTGAAGGCAGGGGGCTGGACTCGATAACCTTTCGGGGTCCCTTCCAGCTCTATGAGATAGGTATCGGTACATCTCCGTACTCCTGAAACATCCAGGGTGAAATTTAGAAATCTTAAGGGAAATGCTGGTATGAGTAATGGGGAATATGTAAACAGGATGAAAGAGCTGATGGGAAAATGGGGAGGGCAAAGATGATGTGAAACAGTGCCTATGGGACAAAAATGTGACCACTGTGGATGAGATGGCTTCTCTAGCTGATGCCTTTGAGCAGACCTAGACACCTATTGAAAGTAAACTACAGAAAGAGGGGTTAAACCTGGTGGGAAGCCTGGTTCCCATTTTACCCCTGGGAAGAAAGAGGGTGTTTGGGAGGCTGGGCACTCACCTCCCCAAAACCATTCCTCTAATTTATTTTTATTTCTTAGGTAATCAACTTTGATCTTTATACCTGATACTTATAATCGCTTAAAATCTATCTTTCTGTAGTTAAGAAATCTGTTCTATATTTTATCTAAAAGAGTGTGGTTTTGGTTGAAGTGCTTGGAGAATCTCCGCTCAGATTAGGAAGGCTGGTGCCTGTCCATTCTACACGGAGTGAGTGGAGCACTAAGTAATGAGTTTACACTGGCCAGGCTTCTGACCAGTGGAACGTGGTACAGTTCTGGGGTGAAAGGGTGGAGAGCTGCGGGTAATTGGCTGGAGACTCTCTATTGATGGTTCATGAGTAAGGCAACGATTTAGTGATGGGTATTTTTAGTAAAAGTCATGGACAAGTCAGGGGCAATAAACAAAAAGTCACGGCCCGTGACCTGTCTATGACTTATATTAAAAATACCCGTGATTAAATCTCGGGGGGGGGGGGGCGCGGGGGGTGGGAGGGGGGGGGGCGGGGGGGGGGGGGTGGGGGGGGGGGGGCGGCGGGGCGGGGGGGGCGCCTGGGGCCAGTGGCACCAGCTGCTAGGGCCGTGGACTGCAGCTGCTCCGGCCAGCCGGCCAGTGGTGAATATGGAAATTCCAGGGCGCTACTTTGAGGTACAGAGTGTCACACTTCCCCCCTTAGTTTACTGCAGAAGCGTTAATCACTGACTAATGCAGAGGCGGTGTGCCCAAGGTGCTCTTTAGGTTTTGACCACACAGCTCCCAAGTGTTGCTAAACATTGTACTGTTACCCACAGGTGCTTTTGCAAAGTTCAGTGCACATTTTAACACTTTGTGGATCTGTCTAGTGATATCAAAAGTTAGCAAGCATGCCTCCTCTGAGTTGCTAGAAAACATCTCTTTGTATCTGTGCACCATAGTTAGCCTTTCGGCTTTTCCAATTAGTGTTAACTCAATGCTGATATTAATGTTTTCTAGAGTGTAGGTAACTTGCATTTAGCCATCAATGCCATGAGGTGGTGTGCCTCAGTTTCCCCGTCCACATGGCAGACCAGGTTTATTATGGTTTCTGTGCTGTGCCAAGCTTCAAGCCTGTTTACCAGTAGTAGCTGAGAAGCAGCATCACCATAGGGCTTCTTAACACAGGGTGTGTTCTTATTTCCATTCCTAGCATGTGAAAAAACTTTTCTCCACAATTGTGTATATTGCACCTTTTCAAGGGATTTACCATCAGAACCAAATTCTTTGTCATGAGACTTATCAGTAACATCAAATCTTTCATCACAGGTATGCATTTCCAAGTATTTGTGTCATACCGTGCCTTCTGTTTAGACAGTCTGGTTTGTTCAATACCCAATGTGTCTTTCAACTCCTTCCTGAACCTTAGCATGTGTTCAGTTACTGGTTTTTCTTTCATTCAGTGTCCACTTCAGTACAGGTTCTCAATCCAATTGCATCTTTGGGGCTTTGGTACTCCTGGGTCTGGTGAGGTCAGGATGTAGGGGGATTCTGCATGTTCCTGGCCCTCTGTGGAGCTGTCTCCCAACCCCAGGGTTGTGCCCATGCAAAAAATCCATCTCCCCTCTTGGGGATGGTGATCCCTGCTCCAGCACTGGGACCTTCCCCGCCCCCTTTTCCTAGAGGGTTGTGATCTTTGATCTCTGGGCTACGAGTGTCTACTCTTTGATCAGATGCACCTTTTCCCAGCAGCCTTCCCAAAGCTGCTTTCTGTGTTTTACGAGTCCAGGGGAAGTCCCTCTCCTCCCTGCTAGCTGGGTGATTTGCATTCTCAGAAACAACCACCGCCTGGAAACTTCCTGGTCTCAACTCCTCTGTTATCACAGGCATTGGAACTGCATCTTGAATTAAAGAGACACAGTTACTTTCCACAAGCATATCAAGATCAAGGTCCTGAAGAACTGGGACCTGGATCGGGGTACCCTCCGTCACCTCTTTCTGTATCCCCAGAGGTCAGCTGTGTGTCTGCTCCCCTCCAGGAAGTTGGTCACACAGTTCCCTCTCAAAACCTGAGCCACGGGCTGTGTGCCTGGGTGCACAGATGCTGCATCGGCCACTCTGTCCTGGGCATCCTCTCCCAAGTGACCAGCAAGGAGACATTCATGTGCTACTATTCTTTCCCCAGCTTTCTTCTCTGGGCCCCCTCTAAGACATCTCTCTGTGCTCTCTAGAGTGGGATCTATCCCTTGTTCAGCTGAAACCTGCTGGCAGCTAACAATCTGGACAGTTTTCTCATGGACAGGCGCTACACCCCCTTCCCTTCCTGAGGTGGTGTTGCCTTCAGCTGCAGTGGAGGAGTCAACCACTGCCACACCTGTTTTTTCGCCCTGCTGCAAAGGAATTAAAGACTCTTTCCCTTTCCTTCAGCAGTTCCTGGGACTTTACCCTCTTCCTCAAGGGTCCCAGCATAATATTCCTTCTTGCTGTGCATACACACCTTAACAGCCAGAGCTACGTGGAAAAAACTCATTCCCAGTTAATACGTCAGTGGGTTATTTTCCACCACCCCCACCTTCAATTCACTTTCGAAACCCTCCGTTTCGATGTGTAATTTGGCCAAAGGCAAAAGAGTCCTGAAACCTCCTGCTAATAAAAGCTCTTTCATCTGTCCTGGCAATATGTCACCTTCTTGAATTATACTCCGCTTAACCACAGAAATTGCTGTATCTGTATCTTCCCATGCAAGGGATTTCCTGTCATTAGTCCTGACAGCCTTTCTATGCTCCCTGCCCGGTTCTGCGGCGGCTAACCCCCCAAAACCAGTATGAAACGTGGCAGGCGCCTGAGGCTTCTGAACTCAGGGCAGCAGCATTCACACGGGCTATTTGCTGCCTGCTTGCTCCCAGCAGAGGGCATTTATTCCTCAAGTGGAATTACGGTGATAGCACCTTCTGAGCTCTTGTGTTTTCACAGGAGAGTTGGGATGGGGAATAGAGGAATGGTTTTGGGGAGGTGAGTGCCCAGCCTCCCAGCCACTCTCCTTCT